GTAAATTAACTACGAAAAGCGTTTCCACGAAAATCACACCTAAATCACCTATTTTCCTTAGTCATTATCCTAATTATTTAAGAGGCTTTCCACTCTATGAAGCATAAATATCTTAAGTTACGTCTATTTTCGGTGGAGTTTTTATAACAAAATGCCACTCAGTGAACAAAGCCACGTAATTGTGCTGTTGAGGCAAAAAGTCCTAATTCTCCCCTCGCAATTCTATTTAGGTGACAACGAAGTAAAAACTGGGAAATTTATAACAGTCACGTAAGTGTGATGTTGGTATATTTTTTTAATTAAAATGTGCTTTGATTTTTATTTTGTTTCATTTCCATTCTGTGGGCGCCCGTTGGCTTTTTAGTTTTTAAAAGCATGAATTATAATCTCGTTTATTTCAGCGTTGTTCGCCTATACACTGCCTGTTGCTCGACATTTAATTATTATGTCACGACCAAATGAATTCATGTTACTTTCACACCATATTTTTAGCGTAGGTGACGTAGAATATTAATCATAAAGTATGAGCTTGGTGTCAAGCTTTTATTTAAGGTTTCATGAAGCTTAGGTATTAACTGAACTGCCTCAGCAATCTGCTTTCTGTTTACGCTGACATTAATAATATTTTGTGATATGGTTTAAATAACATAACATCACGTCTTTTATCCCCGAAGGGGTAGGCAGAGGTGTACATTATATCACTGTACATTGTAACACCCACTTATCACTATTTATGTTATGAGTCCCATGTAATAGGGGGTGAGCATATTGCCATATACCTGGCACAGTTCGAGACTCAGTGCTACTACTGTTATTTTTTTGAAAAACCCAGTAGTATTTTGGCCGACCTGGGAATCGAACCTGAGATCCCTTGCACGCAGTCGCACTTGCGACCACTCGGCAAATAAGGCAGTCATTCACGGTTTAAATAGAAATATGTAATATTTTATGTGAAGAGCTATTTATACCTCATATGATTTACTTAATGCACGTTTGTGATATTTAAGTAGGGTTTAAACCAATGATTGAAATTAACTAAAGGTTTTTTTACAATAAATCGATTTGTTCAGAGCTTAATATAAACTGCCACATACAACTACATATATAGAATGTCAAAAAACGAAAAATAAAACACGTAATCTTAATAACTTCTACTGAATCCAAAAGTAGATGTGTAATATAAAAAGAAACATCGGCAGAAGCTATAATGACTTGAGATTAATAAGTAAAAGTTTTTTGATTTCGAAATGTTGTTTTATGAACAAATTTCACCGACATTCTTTTAGATACAGAAATAAAAATATTATAAGATTAAATCCAGGAAGTCTAGAGTCTAGACGATCTCAGTAATGGTATTACTGAACTTGCAATCACATAAAAATATGCTTGCAAACTTCACCTTTCGTATTTCAAATTAGTTTTAGTTCGACACTAGTTGTATTTGCTTATATTTTTATCTAATTGTATATATCCCGACATAGAATAGAAAAATTACATGACCCATCCGCATTGTACCTACTAGTTTGAAAAAATATATATGTTATTTTCAGTAAGTAGATTAATCTGATCTCAAGTTGCATAGGTCTCTTATGTAATATTTACCTACATAAATGAGCAGACGGATCACCTGATGGTAAGCAATTGGCTTCGCCGATGGACAACTAGAACGCCTGATGCGTTACATGTGCTTTACCAGCCTTTTGGGGATTAGGGGTTTGAGGATTGTTGGGCATTGGAGAGTTTGGGAAAGAGAGGGAGGTGGGGTAATTAGGCTTCCGTTAACCTCACTCACATGCCGAAATACAACGCAAACGTTCCTTCAAGTCAGTTTTTTGTGAGGCCGTGGTAGCACTCCGGTCGAGCCGGCCCATTCGTGCCGAAGCACGGCTGTCTCACACTTACAAACACCACATCAGCAAACGTACCATGCCATAATTACCCTATCAATATATCATAAGTCATTAAATCATAAACTGCATTTAAATTTGCATTTCCTAATGCGTGTTTATCCAATTCCAATTATAAAACTACAGATTTGACAAGAGTCATAAATAATAAATCAATAATGAAAATTAAGCTTTATCTACAAACCATAAAATCTAAATTACGTAATGAGACATTTCAATTACATTAAAACGATAACGAATATAAACCAAATGTTATATAAAAAATAATTATAAATTCGACGTTTCATTGCAAAATATTGCATCTCTACCTGACCTGAATTTGCTATTTAAAAATAATTTTAATAAGATAGATTGTTAAAATGATTTAATAAACGAGATGGCAGTTATTAAATTCCGCGAACGTTGAGCGTAGATGTAATAACTGAAACGGGTTTTATCCGTGTCGAGTTTATTTAATTTTAAATTGTATTTAGTTTCTTCTTATTTGTTATTATCGAAGAATTGACAGTGAACAAGACTCTCGTTGTAAAAGTTCGATAGAACATTAATTAAATCAATTGCAGGCATCAACCATTTCTCTTTGTCATTTTTCTTTACTCTTTCTCTTTGTTTCGTACTTTTTGGAGTATGGATATAATTTTATAGAATTTCAACATTATTTATCCCATACTAGCGACCTGCCCCGGCTTCGCATGGGTTCAATATTCATGTATTATACATATAAACATTCCCTAAGAATCACTCTATTAATAAAAAAAAACGCATCAAAATCCGTTGCGTAGTTTTAAAGTCGCTGTCTGTCGTCTGTCTGTCCCTATGTATATAGGAGCGATTGTTTTATACTATGTAGTGATAGTGATACTTAGCGTAGGTAGAAGTAAAATTCATATCCCAGTATAATTAAGTAACCCATTACATACTTTGTCATATTTTATTTTCCATACTCAAGGTTAAGTGCAGAAATTCAAAGAACTTTATACTAATTGCAATACTTTTCTAATAAAATTTCCAAAAAAGACAATCAAGAAGAGTCGTTAAGCAAAATGTGCTTGCGACCAATTCACCGACAATACAGTCAAACGCTTAGTGCAATTACATATTCATTAGAGCGTTTATGACAGACGATAAAGGCGATATAATTCGAGTCATGCTCGTGAGATATCCAACGTTTATATTCACAATAGCTGTTGATTTCTATATAAATAACCAGACACAAAACTTTCTACATAATTGTTAATAGATATTCAAATAAACGACGACGTATTCAAGTCAATCAACGTTATTTATTGCTTTTTAAAAAGATTTATATCTATCTTCACATATAACATAACATTTTTATGAAATGCAAATTTTATTAAATCCAGTCTCCTAATTAAGTAAGATCTAGAAAATACTAACGAGATCTTAAATTTATAGGCTTTTGTAGATTTCTAAAGGAATATAAATCAGGGGCGTGTGTCGGTGGAATGATTATGCAAGTTAGTTTAAGATTATGCTTTCTCTAGATGTCTAAGCATACCTACTTGGAAGTATAGTTCACTTATAGCTTCTGTCAGCGGTTCCCATGCGATAAAAAGTAGCCTACGTGTGACTCCAGACCATATTTCAAATTTAATCTCGATCCCTTCAGCCATTTAGACGTTAAAGAGTAACAAACAAACACACACACACACACACACATACATGCTCACAAATTTTTGCATTTATAATATTAGTAGGATTACGTCTCTAGATACGTTTTTAGGTCTTATCGTCTTTCGAACTTACAGCACGTTAATATTTTTATCGACTAGTGAATTACACAAGCAATTATGTTCTGCCTATAAAGTCTAATACGCTGTATAAAATAAAGTCATTAAAAACTACAAAGTAAGTACCCAGTTACCCACTACTTAGTATCGAGTTTAATTAGTTTTCAGTTAATCGACTAGCTTTCAGTTAATCGAGTAATCGACTAACTTAATCATAAGTTGTGAACTTTTTAAGTTGCAGTTACAATACATGTCAATAAAAAATTGCATACTTAAATATTATTATTGACATAATTAGTTTGATTATTTTGATATAGAAGATAAACAAGTTTGTCGAGAACAAAAAAGTAGAACTTCTATTTCAATAGACCAATTTATTGTCAGCATTAGGTATTTTAATAAAAAGACAACGAAAAAACCCAATGAAAACAAGCAACTGGATCGAATAACCTTTTCTCTTGGACCTCGCATCGTTATTTATTTATTTAACGGTCGAACGCCACAATATTAATCTGAGGTCCTAAAAACGGTATTGACGCCCACGATTTTCATCAAACGAAAAATCTAATAGGAATCCTGTCACATTAACATATCTTTTGCCCAAAACTGGTGCTATAAAAACTTTATTCACCGTCGAAACGAAAGTCGACGGTCGACACATGTATCTACGGAATAGCAATAAATATACATATTTATACAATAAAGAGTGATAGAGAAATCGAGACGGAACGCAAGTCGCTTGTGACTTTTGACCTTGACATTAAGACAGGTGCTTAAAGTCCTAGTCAATGAATTTATCGCTGTATTTTTATGTTACATTTTTTTTTGTAATTACAACATGGTCACTTTAGTTATGATTTAAATTTAGAACACTCTATATGTATATTCAACCAGTTTTTGCAAAAAGAGTTTTTAGTTTAGTTAAAAAAATATTGCGTAATTTTAGTTCTATTGTAATAAAATCTCGGAGTTTTTATTACAATAAAAAGTTATTATAATAACTTAGTTACAAATTCGTTGTTACTTGCAAACCAGGTTTTTTTAAGAGAAGCTTGAAATCATGAAACCAAAATCAACAAGAGCCTTCATCCATTTTGTTTATGGTAAACATCTAATGCAAACTTTATAAACTTGGGTAAAGGTTCTCTGAATCCATTTACATTATTTTGTCTGAACTTGACATCATGAAAGAATATCTAGTAGCTCTAAAATTGAATTAATTTGTGAAATAAAATAAAGTGAGAAATAAGTACTTCAAAACTTTTAGTGCTTTCAAATACTTTGAAGTTTGTTTAAATATTTACTTAATATTTTAAGATGGATTAATTATTACTATTCTTACCTTGTAAATGCCATCGACAAGTTTTGTCAACTCCTCCGTCTCCATGGCGAAAGATTTTCAATAATCTAATTCCGCAAACAGTTGTGACTACACGAGAAACTTCATCGGGATAACAACAACGTACGAACAAAGTTCAATTTTAACACTGTACACACAAAATTCACATTTCAATGTACACCCGCGACGGTCTACTCCCTTTCGGTTGTCGAATCACTCAAGCAAACAAATTCACTTTCGAACACATCTGAAACAAAAGAAAACAATAATTAGTTAAAATGTACTAAAACAGAAAATAAAACAGGAAAGAGGTTTCCTATCAGAATTTAATTCTAATTACAAATGATTGATACGCAATAATGAAAAAAAACGTAATGTCAAAAAAGTTATGAGAATACAGTATGTTGTTTTTTTATGCACCTGTCCGAGCTAAGTTGAGGTGTAGAGGCGAGGCGTGCGTCGTACTCGAGGCTCGCCAGTAGAGTCACCTATCGCCTTCACTGGTAGGTATCTTACGAATGCCGATATTTAGAAACACGAAGTAAACGGACTGGTAGTAAGATCAGTACGGGCCCGATGTCTAAACCTCTCGCTATGTTTACCGTAACGCAGCTAGTTTAGAAACTACGTACATTTGTTGGGTCATTTCGAAATGCTTAGTTCAATGATCTTTCAATGTTGTTTATCATACGTGTTGTGTTAATCTTACCTACATATTACCTCCCATTTAGAGATTACGATTCAGATAAAATACGTAATATGTCTACTAAGTAATAATCGTAATTATTTAGATATATCTTTGATTTCGTAATGAAAATAAATAACCTAGACGTCGAGACATGTGAGTAAGATCGTGACAAAAAATGTTAATGGTAACTGTTATGAAATGTTCTCAATGCCAGCGTAATAAATGCTTGCATGCAACTTACATTGAATTACTCACTCGTACGTAATAATATGAATACAATAGACAACATTGCCAACTTTCATTTTTGATCACACCCACCGCCTCACAGCTACCAAAAATATTCAGTTCCGTTTCAAAATGCATATAAAGCGACCAGTTTTCATCAATAGGCGTACCCGCGAACTTTTACTTTCAAGATTTATCCGCATTTTATGCAGATAAAAACATTAAAAGCGTTGTCAAAATGTCAAAGCAAACGAAAGATTTTGATAAGATTACCATAATTGCGCAACGTGAGAGCTTATGCATGCTGCCGGTAATCGTATGCAAGAGCCGTCTCGTCTCCTCGCTTAGATCATTTAATTAAATATCATGTTATTGAAAACTAGCTAACCACCTTAAATGCCTCAATAGCTGTTAGCTCAGTCTTCAAACCTGCTTTTCGTTTGTTTAGAACCAACATTCCATTCAGTCACTTTGCGTTTGACCTCTTTGATCCTTTAGTTTATTGCGTTTTGCTGGTACGTTCCAATACATGATACTTAAAATATTGGATACAAGTAACTTAACTCGATGCATAAACTCCGCGTACATAATCAAACTTAATTTACATGTCTGACGAAATCCTAATCAGTTTGCGCTTTAACTTGGCAGATGTGCGCGACATTGAGAGAAAGAATATTTTTATTCAGCGTCTTCACGAGCAAGCAAGCGAGCTGCTAAGGAAAAAAGGTCTCGAACTATGTGAAAGTTTTTTTTCGCGTCACATGCCGAGGGAAAATATAAAACACAATTTCTGAGCGGATCCGTAACTTCATTTTGAACAAGAGAGATTTGCGCCCGCCCTCGCACTCCGCCACCCTTGCATATGCAACCGGGGAAACTGCGAGCTTACCACTTTTCTTTCTTTTCCCGTATCCCTGAGGCGCGACGGAGCATGTGTGCACCGGGCGCTTATTTCACTTGGAACTTGTTTAGTCCGGATTGGACTTGTTGTATCCGGATTTGGGAGTTAGAAACCTCGTAAGTAAGGACGCAACACTCTGTACGAAATCAGTTAAGATCCTTAAAGTCGGTCCGACTTTTAGATTCGCGAAGATTAGGTATAGTTGTAGAGTAAACTGTAAGCCGTATTTGCGAGTTTTAAAGGAAATCTTTAGAGGAATAATGTGATTGCGATATATTCTGGTGCCAAGACAAGTGTGGGTAGGTCGCGGGGTGGTGTGCAGTCGAGTTAGCACAAATGGTTCGCAGGCGACGACGACGACGGTCGCGTTCTGCTGACGAACCTTGTTATCGTGAATATAATGTGGAACTGCACGCCGCCGTTGAATATTCATGTTCGTATTCTTGTCTGGGTTTACAGAACTTGTAGACACTGAATTTCTTGTATTACAAGTGACATGTTTGAATTGAGACGGTTTTGCAAGTCCTGGAGAATATTATAAATCAATTAGACGTGCTTCCATCGAAAGCTACGGGTTAGACTGTTGTTTGTTGGCATCGCTTGCATGTACATAAATATAATACACCTGATACGTTTCACAGGATGTTTGAAAGTAACCTTAATTACGCTTATAGATATTATCAAGCCCTTTGAATAAAACATGTTTTTTGTATCCTGCACAAAGTTGCGACACCCACTAGAAATTGAATACATGAATAAATTAACAATTGTTTTTTTGCTAAGATTGTAAGTGTGACAAGTGAAACACGATATCATCTGAATCAGCGAATCGTGTGTATATATTTTGATTGCGAATATTTTGATATTAATTATCGGCATTGTTCATCGCCATTACTCGGCTCAATCAGATTTCGGAGAGGTAATATCTGTGTCCGAGTAACGTGATAGTGTATGAAATCATTCGTCTGTCAAGCACACATGTGCACCAAGTAATGAGATTCCCATTCACTCCTGGGAAATTTCCCATAATGTGCCGTGCGTTTGACGTCGGACTGACACGACTCGTTCGTTCAATCATTCACGACCTTTGTCTACGGACGAATTATTGTTAAGTGGATAATTAAATAGTAGTACAGGGAGAATTACTTTACCCTATAAATCAGAGTTATATACGTGTTCTTAGATACCCTAATTTATATAATTACCTATGTATGTATGCTCGTGTTTCGGAAATATTAATATTCAGGTTTGTTAAATAACGTAAACTTTTAGTGTTTTACTGGTTTTTTCATATCCCTTTCAGTTAGATATGTTTGCTAGCATTTCAATTACTGTTCAGACAACTACCTTCATTTGCTTATAATTATACTAACGCACTAACATCCTTTTAATTATCAATGATATCTATAATTAAGAAATTAAGCAGTTAATGAATCTACTTTTAGACTGCTATAACATGTAATTACAGACAACAGACCGCAACCTATTGTTCTATAATTGTGTCTACAAAACCGGTACTCGACGAGTTAATAGTATTTTAATTTTTCCGCTTTCTTTCTACCACTTATTTTATTGTTGTACAATGTGACAAAACATGCAGATTGCATAATCAAATTCTTTAACACAATATTCTTAACACTTGAACACGCTTAATCTATGAAACATTAAAAACAATCGATTTTTTATCTATCGACTAATTTGTAAAAAAGACATGAAATGAAAGAAAATATGTAATCGTTTTCATAAGAAATATATTTATTTATTCATAGAATTACTATTTTAAATTTATATTATTTTGGCTTATTTATTAGGTATAATTTTATTTTTATATTTATTATTATATTGTATTAAACTAAGTTAAATAACTTAGTTTTTATATTAAAAATATTATATTGAAAAACTAAGTTAAATAATTTAGTTTTCATTATTATTTTAGTCATACTGTTTTCTTAAGTGTGGGAGAGCCATGCTTCGGCACGAATGGGCCGGCTCGACCGGAGTGATACCACGGCCTCACAGAAAACCGACGTGAAGCAATGCTTGCATTGTGTTTCGTCGCGTGAGTGAGGTTACCGGAGGCCCAATTTCCCTCCCCTTCCCCAATCTCCCCAATCCCTGAATCCCCAACAATCCTCAAACTCCTAATCCACAAATAGCCGGTAACGCACTTGTAACGCCTCTGGTGTTCCAGGTGTCCATGGGCGACGCCGATTGCTTTCCATCAGGTGATCCGTCTGCTCGTTTACCGGCTTATGCAATAAAAAAAAAAAAAAAATACATATTACAGTACAGTAATTTGAATTACTTATGTTCAAATGGATTAGAGACACAAAAACATTTGTTTTGTTGTTTTGGCTTCGAACAATTTTCGGCACCCTTCATTTTACCAATACTTATGACATCCGTAGATACTATTCTATACTAACTTATATTATAGATAATACATTTACGCATATTAGGTACTACACAATCTTGAAAATAAACCAAAGAATCTCCTCCTCAATATGTTCTCAGTGAAAGTGAAGTAACAGCTACATCAGGTGTTCATACAACAGCTATGAATCACGATCTATGTTCTGTTATGGCATTTAACTAGCGTTAAATATCTCATAAACTATGACATATGGTTTTATATACGGTTTAACACTTTATTATAGTTCGCGGTCCCAACTTATGATGTAGTAAAAGTTGAGGTAAAGTTATTTAACGTGCATTCTAGTGGAAGGTTTACTGTATCATATAGATGAGAGTGAAACATATTTATGTTGAAGTAAAGTCTTGTGTAAGATTTGTGCTTTACCGTGATTTTTTTTTTCTTAAAATATTGTCTTTTTAAGTGATTTAGTATGGTGCCAAATAGACATTATGTTTATTGATAATTTCTCAGTACAGAGTCTGGAATTATGCTCAGTGTTTGGTTCTTTATTACATGAGACTCATAACATTACCATATTACTTTTTAAATGTGTACCTCTGTCCACAATTCCAGGGTTTAAAATCGTGATATTAGGTTAAGTAAGTATGTATTTACATAGACTTCATAATTTCTATATTTGTCAAAAAAGTGCTATCCTTTTTCCACTGCTCATTAGGGATGAAACGAAATGTTATATCGCATAGACCCTACAGGACTTTTCGTAACAACTATGAACATTCTTCATTTAACGACTGGGTCTAATAGTTTTACGTGCTCTCTGAGCACGCCCGTGGAACATTGCCAACTTGTTTGGTACCAGTAGCTTTATAGGCAGTCTTAGTCCGCTATAAAAAATCGGCTAAAATTTCGGTAAGTTTGGACGCCACCTCCTAAAAAGTATAAATTTTTTTATTGGAAATCAATAATAGACATTTCGCCAATTAGGGAAAAGTTATTCAAAATAATTATGCCAGGTCGTGCGAGTATATCTATATAGTCTAAGTTCTAAACTCCCTAATAAGGTACCGTTCCAGAATACCGGCCCAGAACCAATCAGCAAACTTGGCGACATTCAATACATTATTAATCAACACGTTCCTAGAATGTGTGGCAAAAGTCTAGAACTTAGGACATTGGTAGTGACGGTGCCACTGTTTTATAATACATACGGGTGAATAGCACCGTATGCGGTAGCCCTACCCACCAGCGACCCGAGTGCGTTTGACAACTCGCTATATTGAATAATATTCCTGTATAATAACTAAAGTTCA